ACCATCATCAATAACATCGTCATGAATCATCATCACCATCATCACCACTACCACCATCGCCATTATCACCAGCACCACCATCATCGTCATCGCCACCACCAGCACCAACATCATCATCACCACCATCAACACCATCATCACCAGCTTCAGCATCATCATCATCAGCATCATCATCACTTTCACCAACATTATCATTAGTATCATCATTCTCATTACTATGTTCATTATCACTGTCATCATCATTACTACCACCCCCCATCATCATCATTATCATCATCATTATCAACATCATCATCGCCATCATCATCACTATCACCATCGTCACCAACATCTTCGTTACCATCATCGTCATCACCCCCACCATCACCACATCATCATCATCATCATCATCATAACCGCTCATACACATTCACACCATCACCACCACTATCATCCCACACGTATTTACTCACGCATTCACCCTCTCACTTACATTCACGCAGTCACGCGCTCACACATGGATCTTGAGGACGCCTCGAGCGGGAGCCTCGCCTGTGATTGCATTGTGAGGAAGTTTCGGGCGGGAGCCTCCTCCTTCTGGGGCCGCCAAATCATGTTGGCAATCCGAACGGGTCATTCAGATCCTGTAAGTGTCGTCACTCTTGGGCTCTTGAGGCGTGGATCCGGAAGAAGTCTCGAGCGGGAGCCTCGCCTGTGCGCGAATTGTAAAGAAAATTCAGGCGGGAGCCCCCTGCGTATGGGGCCGCCAGATCATATTAGAAATCCGGGCGGGTCATCCAGATCACGTAACTGTCTTCCTCTTTGGGCTCCCGAGGCGTGGATCTGGAGGAAGTCTCGAGCGGCAGCCTTGTCTGTGAGTGAGTTGCGAGGAGGTCTCGGGCGAGCCCCCTCCCTGTGGGGCCGCCAGATCGTGTTAGCAATCCGAGCGGGTCGTTCAAATCATGCAACCGTCGTCACTTTTGGGCCCCCGGTGCGTGGATCTGGCGGATGTATTGAGCGGGAGCCTCGTCTTTGAGTGAATCATGAGGAAGTCTCAGACGGGTTTCCCCTGCCCATGGGGCCGCCAGATTCAGTTAGAACTTCGAGTGGGTCATCCAATTCCTACAGTTAACTGTCAACCTTTTTTTCGGCTCCGGTTTTGTCCCGACGGTTTGATCTAGCGCCCCAGCGGCCCGCGGGAATTGTCTCAGTGACCTGGCCCGCGGGGTTGTCCCAACGGCTTCGCGATCTGGCGGTTGGAGGACGCGCCCTAGCCGGCCGCGGCGGCGACGGCGCCGAGGAAGATCGGCATGTGCGCCCGCGCAAGGGGGCGGGGGAGGAGGTGCACGAGGAGAAGAGGCAGGATGATGATGATGATGATGATGATGATGATGATGATGATGATGATGATGATGATGATGATGATGATGATGATGATGATGATGATGATGATGATGATGATGATGATGCTGATGCTGATGCTGATGCTGATGCTGATGATGATGCTGATGATGATGATGATGATGATGATGATGATGATGCTGATACTGATGCTGATGCTGATGCTGATGCTGATGATGATGAGGAGGAGGAGGAGTAGGAGGAGGAGTAGGAGGAGGAAGAAGATGACGCGGAGGCCTAGCTGGGGGCGGGAGGGAGGCCTCTGCCAGAGCGAGGAGAGAAAAAGGCGACGGGGAGACAGCAAGAGGGCCTCGAAGACGACGACGAGGGTTACTCCAACACCATGTTGGTGGTATCCCGTGTGGGGTCCTAGTGTCGGAGCATTCCACGAGGTCCAGTATCGGTGGCGGCGCTCCGCCACCTGTCTGAGATCTGACATCCTCTGTTCCCTCGCGTCTCCTCCTCCCATCTGTCCCCCGCCCTCCCCAGCTCCGGGCGCCGTTTTCCCTGTCGAGACTCCGACCCCCTCCCCACCCCTATCACCCTTCTTTCTCAGCTGCCCTCGCTTTCGCGCAAGAGGCCAGCCACCTTGGACACTTCAAGGGGGAAACGACAGGCTGCAAGAGCTACCAGGAAACGGGGTGGAATGGGGTGCGGCCATGCTTCTGTTCTTCCCTTCCCCCTCCTCCGTCCGTGTCTGAGCAGTGCCATGTTTCGCATCGCTTGTCCACCATCAGGAGTGTTCTATTTGTGAAATTTGTGGGTGTCACTGCGTGGAGAGTCCACGTTCGGACCGAATGCCAGCCACCCGCGCGTGCTGGCAAAGATGTGCTCAGCCGATTGAGGCAAGGGCTTCCGCCTAAGTCTGGCGGGAAGTTCCCTGACCTATGAGTCTGTGTAGCGTGGCCCGCCTTGCAGCTGGTAGCCACGCGCGGAAGTATGACATAATATAATAGAAATCCTTCCCTTCCCCGTCTCAGGATTGCCTGTCGGTCAACGCACCGCCGCTCATTGGATGCAAAGTCTCCCAATGGTCTGCATCCGAGCAGCCTTCAATGCAATCCATGATTCTGTTTTTCTGCATGTGCTCAGATACGCCGCCTCTTGTCCACGATCTTCCATGCCAATGGCCGTCTGGGCTGTCTGTCCGTCTGTCTGCCCCCGCTCTTTCCCTCCTCTTCTCCGCCCCCGTCCCCCTTGCCCCCTCCTCTCCTACCCCTGCTGCCCTCCTTTCTTTCCTCTCCCGCTCTCTCCCCCATCCCAGGCGCGCCTGCTCGTCTCTCTCCGCGCATTTCCTGCCGTTCACCCCTCCCCGCTTCTTCTCCTCTCCCCTGCATTCCTCCACCTCCTCCACGACCTGCTCCTCCAGCCTCCGGACCCCACGTAGAGCCCTTGAACGCATGCCCAAACACCACAACCTTCGTCCCAGTTCTTCCCAAACCATGTAGCATTCTGTAGACACTCCAAGAAGGGAGTAACACATAAACAAGTAGCGCACCTAACAACGACACAACTGCAGCACATCAAGCACCTCGTGAACAAATGACTGTGAGAGCTCTTCGTCACCATCTTGAAATGTAATTTCTCGAGGAGCCTAATTGATCTGTGGGGGTCGTGAGGGCGGGCCAGAAAGACCCATCGACGGCCTCGAGTGGTTTCCCCGCGACGCCAAAACGTCAGGGGGGGGAATCGGGTCAACCGCCAGAAAGTGCTCACATCCACCGTTTCGGAGTCGCGCTTTAGGACCTCGAGGAGAGGAGAATGTGGATAGCTGCCCGCCCCTTTCCTGGAGCCGGTTTTCCGTCCCAGATCCGTTTCTGGTGGCCCTGGGGCCCGACGGGCATCTGCAGGCAGACGTGGAGGAGAAGCACTCGGGCTCAAAACATAAGTCCGCCAGAGGTCTGAGTCTCTGGAGGTCTTTGGGTGTTCCAAGCAGGTCTGCGGACGCCCCCAGAGGCTCCTGAAGGCCCTGGAAGGCCTCGAGAGGCCTCCAGAGGCCCGAGAAGGCTCAGAGACCTCGCTCTCTGAACTTCGAGTGCTTGAGATCCGACGCTGCGAACAAAGTCCAGCATCGCGAACAAAAAATGCGACCAGAGCCCTGTGCCGCATCTGGGACCCCATTATCCGTAAGGGCTTCGCCCCCTGCCGCCGGCCCCCTCTCTCGGAGAATGGGCCATGGAAGAGCTAAGTCATGAGGCCTTGGCGCTGTCGTGAAGCAGTATCGAAACTTCATGCGAAGCCGATTCGCAATCAGCAAAACCAACTGATCACAAGAGGGATTACCACACCTGGCGATTGGTAAGACGTGTATGGTTTACGGGCTTGGTTGCCACACCTTGCGATTAAAGGGCCGAATTTCTCGCAGTTTGGGTTACCACGCTTGCGATGGATGTGCGTGAAGGGTGGCACCGAATTTCAGAAATGTGGCAAATCCCTTGTGTTTTTGGACCCTGACCCCGCGGATCTGCGTAAGGGGTGGCGCCGAATTTCAGAAATGTGGCAAATCCCATGTGTTTTTGGACCCTGACCCCGCGGATCTGCGTGAGGGGTGGCACCGAATTTCAGAAATGTGGCAAATCCCCTGTGTTTTTGGACCCTGACCCCGCGGATCTGCGTGAGGGGTGGCACCGAATTTCAGAAATGTGGCAAATCCCCTGTGTTTTTGGACCCTGACCCCGCGGATCTGCGTGAGGGGTGGCACCGAATTTCAGAAATGTGGCAAATCCCCTGTGTTTTTGGACCCTGACCCCGCGGATCTGCGTGAGGGGTGGCACCGAATTTCAGAAATGTGGCAAATCCCCTGTGTTTTTGGACCCTGACCCCGCGGATCTGCGTGAGGGGTGGCACCGAATTTCAGAAATGTGGCAAATCCCTGTGTTTTTGGACCCTGACCCCGCGGATCTGCGTGAGGGGTGGCACCGAATTTCAGAAATGTGGCAGATCCATTGTGTTTTTGGACCCTGACCCCGCGGATCTGCGTGAGGGGTGGCACCGAATTTCAGAAATGTGGCAAATCCCTTGTGTTTTTGGACCCTGACCCCGCGGATCTGCGAAAGGGGTGTCGATTTCGGGCCCCCCCAGCAATTCAGACAACGCGCCCAGGGGGTGCTAAAAAGCCGGTTTGGGCCTCCCCCCCCTCGCGCGGTCAATCAACTAGTTACAGTAACCAGCAATAAGTCAATTATTTACAGTAACCAGCAAGAAGCAGAACTGTAACACTGGAAACTACAAGCTACAACTGGTACAGGAAACTGCGAACCTCGCTCCTGCAGCCTGGTGGCCCCACAAGGGGGCCGGCGGATCCTGCGGCATTTTTGGAGCCGGATCGATATGTGAAGCTCCCGGGCCCCGAAAACGGGCAAAATCGCCCGCTGAAAAAATGGCGACGCCCTGATCTCAGGGGTCCTTGAGCCTCAAAGCCTCGAACCTCGAATCCTCGAGCCTCGAATCTGCCCTGTGGCGCAGGGGGCTCGGCTGCGCGTCGCCGCCGCCAACGCCAACGCCGCCGCTGCCGCCGCCGCCGCCGCCGCCGCCGCCGTCGTCGTCGTCGTCGTCGTCGTCGTCGTCGTCGGCGGCGGCGGCGGCGGCGGCGGCGGCGGCGGCGGCGGCGGCCTGCGCAGGGCTCGGCTGCGCGTTCGAGGCGCTGGCTGGCGCGGGCGCCGAGCTGTGGGAGCTGGGCGCGGTGGTGACCGAGCCGGGCGCCGCCGCGCAGCAGGCGGACACCGCCAGCCACCGGTCGCCGTCGGCCGCCGTCGGACATGCGGCCCATCGGCGGCTCGGTCGGGCGTCGCACTTTTTTCACAGAAGGCCGCCTTTCGCACCTCCCCGGCAGCAGGGAGAAGTGCTTCTCGAGGAATCGGCGGCGAGCGAGGGGGGGAAGTGAGAAGGAGGAGGCCTTCTCAGAAGGCTCGGAAGTCCCCCCAGCCTTTTGAGAAGTCTTCTGAGCTTCCCCGAAGACGAACAACAGCTTCTCAGAAGGGCGCGAGGGCTTCTGAGAAGTCCCGCCGCCTTTTGAGAAGGCCTCCCTCTCTCTTCCTCCCCGGGCGCGCCGCCGAACTTGTTTATCGGGTCATAACTCGGGTCTCCAGTCTCCGTTCGGGACGATCTGGGCACCCCTGGAGCACCCTCGGCGAGGCACAGCTGTTGGCAAGCATCCCGAGGCTGGAAAACCGCCGACAACCGACGAAAACTTCCGAAGAAGAGCTGCTCCCCGGGACCCGAAGAAAACGTCCTTCTCACTTCCCCCCCACTGGCTCGCCGCCGAAGGAAGGGGTCCAGGAGGGCGTGCGGGGGCCAGCGGCCCACGCGGGGCGGGCGTGGGCGCCGCGCCGGCGGCGTCCTCCTCCCCGGGCAGCGGCGCCCTGCGCACGCGGGCGCTCGCCCGGGAGCGCGCCGCGCCTGCCGAGGAGGCGCAAGACGCACTCTCGGCCACGCGCGGAGGGGGGGTGCGACGGGAGGGGGGGCAGGGGGGCAGGCTGCTCGGGAGCACCCCTGCTCCTTACAGGGCGCGGGCCTTTTCTACAGGTGTGAGGCCGGCGCCTTTCAAGAAGCAGCCTCCACAAGCCTCCAAAGTGGCCTCCCTCCTCCTCCTCCTCCTCCTCCTCCTCCTCCTCCTCCTCCTCCTCCTCCTCCTCCTCCTCCTCCTCCTCCTCCTCCCCCTGCCCCTGCCCCCCTCTGCGCGCCGCCAACGCTCTCTGCGCCCCCCCCCTCCGCGGCGTGCCGGTCGCCCTCCCTGTCTCGGGAGGGTTTTTCGGGCCCCAGGGCCATCACAGACCGATTCGGCTCGCGAGAGGCTGCAGAAAGATGGGGTCAACGATCACAGCGATAACAGCAATAGCAACGATGGCAACGATCACAACGGTAACAGCAATAACAGCGATAACAGCAAGGACAACAACGACAACGACGACAACGATAACAACGATCAATGCTTTTCGCCTCTGGTCTGGATTTTCTGCGATGCAGATTTTTTTTTGTAACGTCGGATCTCGTGGTCGTCCGGTCGGCTGGTCGGCCCGCAGGGCCGCTCGGCGCGTGAATGTCTTACTGTCTTTTAAGACGAGTGCGCGTGGCGCTAAGGCGAGAGCCACATTTTGGAAGCGGCCCGCCCTCTGTGAAACTGCTGCTGATGTTAAAGAATTAGGACCATGCGTGGAAAGGAAGTCTGAGGCGAAACGCCCGGCAAACCACTCAAAGGGAAGAAAGGGGGTTTGAAGAACTAATTGCTTGAACCACTTACTACTTGGGTGTTGGATTGCTGGTCTACTACTTCGCACTGAATCTTAGACGACAGCGCTGCCGGAGCATTGACCTTCTCGATGCGTGGGTCCCCAGACATCTCCACCCCTCCCCGAGGGCCAGCTTCTCCCAGGAAGGGGAAAAAACACGCAGACACAAATAGGCGTCGATCCACATAAAGATATGGGAAAACGGGGGAAGTGGAGGGGAAGACGAACATCCAGAAATCATGGAAAATATGGGGAGCCCTGGGATTTGTGTCTGCCGCTTTGTGTGCCCCTGGGCCCCTTCCCTCTCGCCCCGAGCCATTTGTTTTGGGGGGGGGGAGGGCCGCCCCGCCGCCCGAGACCCGCCTCCAGAGACTGAGACTACGGCGACAGACCGGGCGGCCTCGATCTGCTCGAAGAGCCGGCCCTCGTTGGGCCTGGCGTGCTCCAAGAGCGGGGAGGCCCCCCCCAAGAGGGCCTCAAGAGGCAAAAGTGGTCCCACTCCCTTCGGAAGACGTGCAATTTTGGAATTTTCGTCTTAGGAGCTGTCAGAGCATCCAAGACGGCCCGCGAGGCCTCCAAGATCGCCCCAAGACGACCCAGGAGGCTCCCTACAGAGCTCACAGCCAGCCCAAGAGAGGGATAAGGCCCTGGGCAGGCGCCTCACGTGCCCGCGCGCGCCCGCGGCGGATCTTTCCGGCAGCCTTTCTGGCCTCGGCGCCCATGGAAGCCTCCTCCGCCTGCGCCCCTGCTCGCCGTGCCCTCTTCCATCTTCCCCCCGTGACCCAGCCGCCCTCGTCCTCGTTCTCCTTCTCCTCGTCCTGATTTTCCTCGTCGCCATCATCGTCGTCGTCGTCGTCGTCCTCCTCTTCCTTTTCCTCTTCCCCTTCCTCGT